GAAAATACTGGTAAAATTCCGGTAAGGTTTCGGGTAAAAAAGGCCAACTCACTTCTCAAAACGCTCACTTTAATTAAATTCGCTGAAATGAGGTATGCCCATCAGGTGAATTTATGTTGACATTTAGCATTTGTAAGAACTAATAAGAATAGAATTGGTGCGATGCAATGATGACGAAAAAAAAACCAAATTGGCAATAATAATCTCTAATGTGTATTGGATGTGATTAGTTTAACATTATCGATAAAAGATAGTTTACCCGCGAACCAGATTTTAGCATTGAAAACTTTGATAAGACGTCTCTCTACATTGTGGCGTGAAAACAGCATGTATGGAAAATATTTTGTACGTCTTTCTTATTCAGGAATCTCATATCCTTTTTTAAAATGAAGGCTGAGATACATGTGGATCTTCAACAAAGACAAAGGTAAGGTGTGTCTCTTTACGTTAGTTATTGTGGATCAAAGTTACACAGATGGAAAGTACTACCAATAAAAACAGCCACTTTACTCGCGAACTCTTTAGGATAAACAGTATGCATAATCATCTCTCTTAATCATATTAGCGACTTGCCAATAATATTTTCCATAGATTAAGCATGTTCTCTCCCTGATCGATTACAGACAACAAAAAGCAAGTGCACTTAGGCATAATTGTATCGTTATGCGATAGGTTTGTCAACATTTTAAAAGACTATGGCAATCCTAATCTCCCATACGCCACCCAGCATCATTCCTCCATTGTTTACATTTCTGTCAAGTACGAAAAACAGCATCATTTCCTGAAATTTATGAAACTCTCCACATCATTGGTGAGAGATGAAAATCATGTTTTTAAATAATAATTATAGAAACAATGTCCATCGTTAGATCCCTGTATAACAATTTCTGTAAACACAAAATTAACACGCCGTAACACGTCCATTAATAATTTACCAATAGTGGTTTCAAAAATTTCTGGTTATTATTTACCCTAGTTAGTACACTATTATCGATTGCAAGCCAACGTCCCATTCCACATTTCGAATTGCGGGCTTTACGTAACCTATCATTATTATTATTATCTGGTTAATATTGTATACAATTCTTTCATTGCGAAACAATCACAAATGACTACCAGAAAACGCCAATAATGGAAAACAGGCAATAAAATTATGGAAGTGTTTGCATATTTGGTCTATCACAACTTTTTGGTAATAGATTA